CTGTCGCCTCTGTCCAGACGGCCCCTCCCCACGCACGCCTGCCCCTTGCACCCCGTGGGCTCTGCTGAGACAGTGCTACGGCACCTCAGGGGTTGTTCCATTCTGCATTCCCGCGAGCAGTGTGTAAGAGCATCTGTTTCTCCCAAGCGTATATTCTTATACTTAGGAACTTTTGCCAATCTCATCAATCAGAAATGTTCTCAGTGTAGTTTTAATTTGCATTTCTCTTATTTTGAGTAACATGCATTTCAAGTGAGCAAAACTTGTTTATGCTGACAGTGTACACTGGAATGCCAGTAATCCTGACCTTCTTTCTCCTCTAACAAAATCCGTCATATTTCAAATCCCAGTTAAAATATCCCCTTTTCTGTGTTGCTTTGAATCTTTCGATGTAAGATTAATTGTTCCTTCTGCATTCCCTTGGCATGTTATATCTAGCTCACATATGCCCGGAAGGGATGTACCTTGGTCTCCTTTAGCTTCTTATCCCTGTGACTAACTGTCTGGAAAATGATCAATGCTTACTAGAGATTTGCTGGATTACTGAATAATGATTTAACTCAAACATGGCATGAGAAACTGTCTTTGGCTGGAACACTAATTGAAAGCATAAAGCTCATCAATGTACTTGCAACCTTGTTGTTTTGATCAATATTATTATTCTATGATTTTCTCAGATGAGAAGCTTTGCAATGAAGAAAGTATAGTACTTCAGCATTTTTGAAGTTTTTCCATTCTTTCAGCTATAATAATAAATGTAAATATCTAATAAAAATTACAGCAACATTATAACACATTATATTGTTGTGTCATTACAAAGTACTCTAATTTTTGAAGTCCAAAATAAATCCGTGACATGGACAAATTCACTGTCTAATAATCAGAAGACTGACCCATAGCACTGGTCCTGTAACTAAATAATGTATGTTTGCCCTTGTCAGACACGGTATTTCTATAACTGCACAAAAGTTTGTACAAAAATGTTTTAATCTGGAAGGTTTTAAAAATGTTTAAGTCTGTTAACTAAATGTCATACTTTGTTTAACTCATTAACAAGTAAGTGATAATGCGGTGGATATGAAAGTCTATGGGCTGCTTGTTTGTAAGGAAATAGGTTCTAATGGAAATGATGAAGTTGGAAATTGCAGATATTATGATTGGATGCTGAATTATTTTACTTTTTTTCCTCATGTTATTTTAGTGATACTGGATTTCTCACTTTTAAGAAATGGTTCCTACCCTTTTAAAACAGGGAAGATGTCACGGGTAGAGAGAGGGAGGTGAGAATGGCATTTATGGTAATAATTGTCAGTTTTGGGGCTTAGAATAACAAAGGGTGGGGAGGTAGGTGACAAACAGAAACACTCCTTTCTAAAGAAAAATGAGAGCACATACAAAGATAGAAACAGCCTCAGTATTTGGTAGAGGAAAGCATAAATAAATCATGATGTTTGTTCTCAGCGCATCAGGCAGCATTTAAAATGATTGGAAATGAAGACTTTGTAGGAAAATATAAAATAATAAAATGCTAAGTGAAAAAACAGATTACATATTTTTATTTACTGTATGTACATAATTAGAAAGATATATACATTTGGAGGGACATACCTAAAAAGTGAGAGTATGTGCATGATTTCTAATTTTGTTACAGTTTTGTTATATATATTATGCTATAAAAAGTAAGGAGAAATGCAAAGAATTTGTACAACTCAAGAACAAAAACAAAATAAAACAAAACAAAAAGGGCAGTAAAAGATCCAGCCTACCTTTCAGTATTATTTACAGAGTCACAGAATTTTTGAGCTGGGAATCTGTCCTAGCAGTTCTCAAACATTTTGGTTTCAGAACCTATTTACAATAAAAATTATTGAGGATCCCAAAGAGCTTTTATTTATGTGGGCTTTATCTATTAATATTTTCTATATTAGAAATTAAGATTGAGAAATTAAAAATGTTTACTAAGTAATTTAAAAATGGCAGTTGTATGTATTGCATGTTAATCGAAATAATATATTGTTATGAAAAATAACTCCATATTCCAAAACAGAAAAGTTTAATGAGAAAAGTGCTATTATCTATTTTTGTAAATCTCTAGTATTTGGCTCAATTGAAGACAGCTGGATTCTCACACCTGCTTACTCATTCAATTCGTTGTGATATGTTGATCTGGTTAAAGCATAGAAAGAGAATCTGGCCTCAAATAGCTGTGTAGTTGCAAAAGGAAAGTCTTTTAATAGCTTTTTCAGATAATTGTGGACATGCCACGCTGCCTTTGGAACGTACATTGTACACTTACGAGAGAATGAGTCTGAGAAAGGCAAATGTCTTAGAATTATTATGAAAACGCTTTTGGCCTCATGAACTCCCTGAAAATGTTTTAGGGACCTTCCAGGGGGACCTCTGACCACACTTAAGAACCACTGCTCTCACTCTTGAGAGGTAAGAAAACTGAAACCAGAATGTTAGAGTGATTTTCCCCAGATCACATGGTTAAGGTAAGACAGAGCATGGGGACACAGCTCTTTGGTTTCATTCCTCATGCTTTTGGAAAACTTGAAATTAAAGTGTGATTTTAGGACAACTTTTGGCAACTGATCCTGAGCATTTATATTAGGATCTTCTGAGATATGAGGTATAATTGTTCCTTTCCTTCTTGAAGATTTAAAGAGAAAACCTCAGTGATAGGCAGATCAGAACTTTTTAAAGAAAGTAGCATTAGAATTACAGATTTGTAAAATATGTAGTGTTTAACAAATATAAGAAGATACAGAAATATTAGATACCACATTTATAATTAATGATACGATATATTTATTTTTTGCTTAACACCACTTAACTAGCTAAAAAATGTCCTAGCATTGTCATTAAGTTTTAGTAGATACTTTTAATTTCACTTAGGCTTGTTGCCATTATTTACATATTCATAATAAGAGGCATTTTCCATGTCTGGACCTCCATTAAAATGTTTGGTGACTTTTTGTTTTTGTTTTTAATGTTCACTCATTCCTCCCAGATTCCACTGAGGTCTCAGAAACATTGGTGACTTGGGTACCTAAAGTGGAAAACATTTGGAAAACTAGCTTATTAGAGTAGGCATTTTTTCAAACCTCACCGTCAATGCACAGCTGTATATAGAGGGCCTTTGGATGATAACTGTTCTGTATCACCCTCCTTCAGCCCTCTTGTGTATATCTCAGAACCTTTACCCCCTGACTCAGTGCTGGCCTATGGTCTGTGTCCTGGATGTGAGACCTCCCTTCATATTTTTTCATCTTTTTGAGGTCTTTCTTGCAAAAGGCTCTTTCTTTCTCTGCTGTCTGCTTTACCTCCCTTTTCTGTTCCCTACTTACCAATTTCTTCTTTTAAAGATTACACTCGATAAGAAGCCTTCCAATATACATACAGTGGAATCAAGATTCTTAACAGTTGCCGAAAAGATTCACCGAAGTAATTCTCTGCGGTTTCCTGTCTGCATGATGGGAACCGCGGTCGGATAGGTCCCACTGCGGGCCCGATGGTAACCCTGGCAGCTGCTGTCCTCCTGCCTGAACACCACACGGCTTTCATTCCTTGCTTCCACTTTGTGTTGGATATTAGTGGTAAAAAATCAAGGTTATTTTGTAATCAACTGGCAGAATCTTTAGGTCAACTCTAACCAATCCCATCTTTTTTAAGACTTTTTTCCCCCTGAAATAAAGTATTTTAAAGTTTTATGGGAAACATTTTTAATGCTGAACTTGAAGAAAAGTAGTGGGGCTGGGAACACAGTTAATTGGGAGAGAGTGAGATGAAGTTCTGGGTGACTTTTGGCTTCACCCCACCCCCCACCCCTTAGTCTCTCCCCCCACTACCACCCCCCACACCCCACCAGCACCTTTGTGTGGTGGCCTCAGGGTTGGAAAGGCTTACTTACTGGGCTCTGCATATCCTGTTCTGTGTTTGCCTTTTTGTCTCTGCTCTTCTTGTGGAATGAAGTTTGAAGGGGATCCTAGGTGTCCAGGTTAGTTAGAGAAATCACACATCTACTTGTACTGCATTGCCTTTCCTCTGTTTGCTTTCCTTTTGGAGCTGGAAACTGCTTTCTGGGCTAGAGAAAATAAAAAGAAAATGTATTAATTTGAAATACTGTTGAGAATCTTGTTTTGTCTATATCATATGGCTCTCTTTTTTTCTGGACTGTTTTCTAATTTTTTGTTGTCCATGTGGAATCAATTATATCTTACAGTGGAAGCTTACTGTATGTTTATTTAAAAGAGCAAAATAAAGATAGAAAAAAAATACAGTCTAGCTAGGAAGATGGTGTAGTGGAGGGAGTGCTGTGATGGGCATTTGGAGATTCAGGTTCTAATCTCATCCTTATTACAGCTATTGCTGTGACTTGGTCAAATTATGTCACTACTTTGAATTTCAGTTTTCTATAAATGAGAAAGTTGTTAAATGATGTCTATGAGTGTTTGCCTCTCACGGTAGTATTTATTCAGCAATTACTTAACTAAGTGCCTGTTATGTGCCTGGCACTGTTTGGAATGCTGGAAATACGTAGACATCCAGATGGCTGTGGTTCCCACTCTTGTTGACATGTTACAATCAGGTGCAGCTGTCTGTTTCCCCCACTGGATAACAGAAATGGAATTCAAAGGACGGCTGAGCTCTAGTCCTGGCTCTGTGGCTGACTTGGGTAGGACCTTCACAAGTTATTAAATGTTTTGTTCCTCATCTGTTTTATCCTCTAGGGGATACAGAGTGAAGATAGTAATACCTAACTTACCTTACATAGTTGTTTTAAGAGTCAAAATAGTGTATGTGGAAATGCATTTGAATGTATTAGTAGTGTATAGTATTGTGTGTAGCAATGTCTAGTAGTTAAAATATTTGATTTGTTATAAAATTTCACATGGAATTCATTACCACTTGGTTGGGAGAATCCTAAATTAACTTAATCTTGGAGTTCAGAGACACTTGAAAAGTATGAAGTATATTTGTTTTTCTTCTCTTCACAGAAGAAGATAATGCTGAATATGTTCTTAGACACCATGATGGCCGATCCCCCTCCCCAGTGCCTTGTCTGGCTACCTCTCATGCACAGGCTCGCCCATGTTGAGAATGGTAAGCAGAATTTTTCTCATTCAGTTCCTTAGGCTACAGGAAGTATAGGAACTGAGAGTGTTTGTAATGGCCTTAGCTGTTATTGACATTTGCTGGCATTCTGTCATTTGGATTTGTGATTTTAGCTTTCCAACGAGGAGTATTTGTCTCTCAAAAAAAATGGGGAGAGGGGACTTATTACTTAGGGTACCAAGAAGTAATAATAGCAGGCTGTAAAACTTTGTGGTTTAAATGCTAGGCTTTTCCCCTGAGACTCCCAATGGTCGTTTTCTGCTTGAACGTACCTGATGAGGCCACAACTTTCCTTTTTTTCCTTTAAGTTATACAAATAATAGCTCTGAAAAATTGGATAGATCAACCACCAAAACTATAATTTTGGAATTGTTTAAAGGACAATGGCTAAGATAGAATTTGGTACTGTGTTTCACACATCTGTAGTTTTTCTTTTACTGTTTTACCTTGAATTACTCTCAATATCCTTCCCAGTAATTTGACTTCAGTCTCTGTTTTGCTTGGAAGTGAAATGGTACTATTTCTTGGTAACTTCTTAATTTTTTCCTTTGTTGCTATAATTTATCTCCTTGTTTACGATGAGTTTACTAAAGGAACGGCCATAGTTTTTCTGTGTAACTCCCTCCATCTACAAGCTCATGCCTGTCTCTCCTTACGTAGGAGGGAACAAGTAATGGCCGAGAGGCACTAAAGCAATCTTTTTCCCCTTTGTAAGAATGAAATACTCTATTTGTATTCTCCTCTTCCTACCAGTACCTTTTTTTCCCACCTCTTAACCTTTGCCCAACTGTGGCTTTAGTTCACAAGTATCTTAGAGTCAGGATTATTTTCTTAATCTCTTGACTAAAACACCTAAAATTTTTAATAGGACTTTTGGATAGAGATTTATGATGTTAAATTATTACAATATTATTGTCTTTTGGGGCAATACTTTTAAAGCCTTAAGTGTTTTAGTAGTTTAATACCCAATATGTTTTCATAAAATCATTTTGTATCTGCTATGCCAAGTAGAATGAATTTCATTTGTCAGTGTTTTGTTATCCACATAAACATTTTATTGTGACTTTGCATCACTGTATTGTGACTTTGCATCACTGTATTGTTCATTGATTAAATTTTAGGTGGTTACTGATAAATTTTTTCTCAGAAACAGAGAAATATTATGAAATCATTATAATATCTATAAAATAAAATATATTACCTATCACAGTAACATTTATCCAACTGTCAATTTTTATGGTGGGAAATAAATTATAAAATGGTATTTCTAGGATTTTGTTGTTTGGGCCCACTATGTGCTATGAAATTTATCACTTGGCTTGTATTGAAGTTACCATTCATAAGGACAAATATTTATTTGCTTAAGCAAAAGTTGCACTTTTTATATTGGCTTACTAATTAAAGTGTATGTCATATACAAATCTAACTACCATATGAAGCATTCTTCCAAAAAGAATACTTTTATCAAAACCTGATCTTACTTGTAATTGACCGAGCACACTTGCTCCTTTCCTCTTTCTGGCTTTGTGCTTTTCTACCTGGTCACCCATTCCACTGTCTGATGTAAGCACTGGCTCTTGACTGGTTTAAAGAGAAGAAAAATCATAGACATAAATGTTCAACCAAAATTATGAGAATATGTTTGATAATTTAATATTAATATATACATCTCATTTAACATTAACCCTGTTATTATATAGAATGATAAATATTGGCTACATTGATATTGATTGCATTGATGTTCACTCCATATTGATTTGAGAGTAGTGTTATCTGGTGGAACTTTACTGGATTGTACAGTTTCAATTTAGAGCCCAGACTCATTAGCATTTCATTATTCTTTAGAACTAGCTTGATGATAAAAAACTTGAATTTCTTAGAGGAAGCATGTCTTGGATTTTCTCATTCCTGATTTTTTTATTTTAGCCTTTAATGATCTTGTTACATTGTTTTCCTCACATAGCGCTCAAAATTTTTTGTTTTGAGTCTTGATTCCCTAGTTAGTATACATTTTTGGAAGCAGGACTAAAAATTCTTGTAACTGAGATAAGATAGGATTTGTACACATAGTGCTAGAAAGAGCTGTTCAAGATTGAATACTGTATCCCCCTTTCTTATTGACTTCCATTTTTTGTGTTCAGAATGAAATTGCCAGAGGAAACAGTTACGCTACCAACATTTAAAAGTATAAGTAACAATCTCTAATATACAGTAGTGTATCACCCACTTCCCACTTGATGAACTGGGCTTTCAGGCTGTAAAAGAAACCCAGTCATCTCTATGAGTTCCTACTGCCACCTGGCAGGTTTTCATAAGGTAAGGTGCTGTGTGAGGTGGAGAAAAGAGTGGCAGATCACTGAGTTTCCCTTCCTCCAAAAGAGTTTTTCATCGCTGGTCTAGAGTACTATATTTTATGCTGTTAGAGTTCTTACCTAAGACTATTATTTTAATATGTCTAACCTTACTTTTTACCAGTTACCACTTATGCTCAGGTATGTGGTAATATTTAATTCAGCAAACATTTGAAGGCCTTCAGTATAAACTGCATAAAATACAATTTTCAGATAGCAGAGACACATAGTACATTGACCTGGCTCTCATGGATTTTATGTTAGTGAAGGAAACAAGTATATATACAACTAATGATGATACATTTCTTTTAAAAGCAATAGGTTGGAAAAGAAATTTTGGAGTGAAGACTTCTCTCTTCTCCTTACTTGTATATTTGTCTACATTTTGAAAAACATGAGTTTCATTTAAAAGAAAGAAATTGGTTACTTTCTAAGGTCGATTGGAATGCAGTATTCTAAGTTAGAAACAAAAGTTTTTAAAGTATAAATCTTTCTTACTCTGGTAAATAGCTGGTTAAATTAACTAGGAGACAATTTAGAATCTTCAGTTATAATTCTGTTTTCACCTTTGCTTTTTCATATTAGGTTTGGTTTTCCAATGCATTGACTGTATTTTGCAAATGAATACGATTTCTTTCTCCCTCCTGCCCACCCCTTTGCCCCGGCCCATCTCCTGTCCTACAAGTCTTCCACCCCGTCGAGTGCTCCTATTGCCGGTGTGAGAGTATGATGGGCTTCCGGTACCGATGCCAGCAGTGCCACAACTACCAGCTTTGCCAGAATTGCTTTTGGCGGGGCCATGCCAGTGGCCCTCACAGCAACCAACACCAGATGAAGGAGCATTCCTCTTGGGTAACTGCTTTGTGTTTTAGTCTGTGTCCCCAACTGTTAATCTGCTTCATTAGTAACAGCACTTGGGCCAGATCCTGATAGATGCTTACCAAGTAAGGATGTGGTGGAATAAGATCATCATTACTAACATTTATGATGGGCATTACACATGTGTTGTACTTCATCACTTGATTTTAAAAACAGAATTTTTAAAATTCCAGGAGATGGAGATATTATTACATTTGAAATGATCCCTTTTATCCAATAAGATGGAATGTTCTAATACTCCCTTCCCAAAGTGAAAAGTGTCTTATTGTAAATTGTTTAAGGTAGATATCTCCCCAGATGCTTACTCCCTGAGTTTTAAGTAAGATTTTAAGTTTTTTTTTTTTAAGCAAAATTTCCTTATTTATAAAGGGTTTAAATATTGCAAGGAAAGCTGCCTGAAAAGAAAGAGTTAAATTTTTGCCACTCTGAAGTTGGGGAAATCTTGTATTTTACAGTTGCCACATTGGTGAACGTACTTTCAAAAGTAGTCCTAAATGACAATATTGGGGTGGAGATTGAATTTTGTCAAATGTTTTTTCTGCATTTATTGAGATGATAATGTGATTTTTATCACATGCTGATTTATTTGTGGATGTTGAATCATCCTTATATTCCTGGAATAAATCCTACTTGATTATGTTGTATGACCCTTTTAATGTATTATTAGCTTTGGTTTGCTAATACTTTGTTGAGGATTTTTACATCTATGTTCATCAGAGATATTGGGCCGTAATTTTCTTTTTTTGTGGAATCTTCATCTGATTTTGGTATAAGGATCATGCTGGCATTATAAAATGAGTTTGAAAGCATTTTTTCTTCTTTAATATTTTGGAATAAGTTGACAAGGATTGATACTAATTCTTCTTTAAGTGTTTGGTGGAATTTACCTGTGAAGCTGTCTGGTCATGTTTTTGGGGGAGTTTTTGAAATTGGTCTTATTCAAATTTCCTATTTCTTTGTGATTCGGTCTTGGAAGATTGTATTTCTAATACCCATTTCTTCTAGGTTTCCCAATTTGTTGGTCTATAACTGTTCATCGTAGTTTCTTATGATCCTTTGTATTTCTATGGTGTCAGTTGTACTTCTCTTTCATTTGTGATTTTTATTTATATGGGCCTTTTCTTTCTCGATGAGTCTGGCTAGAGGTTTATTAACTTTGTTTATCTTTTCAAAGAACCAGCTTTTAGTTTCATTGATCTTTTGTATTTTTTTTTTTTTAGTCTCATTTATTTCTGTAGAGTCTAACTCTTTACACTGAGGTAACTCTTTGCTCTATTACCTTTTGTAATGATTGGATTTGTGGGTATGTTTCTACTGAAAATTCTCCTTATATATGTTGGGGGTAAGAGAATGAGGAACTTCTTGTTTGAAGCTTTAGCTTCAACTTGATCATTTAACTAATTATAACCCATAAGAAAGGGGAATTTTGTATTTAATTAAAGATAAGTGATTTTAAGTATGCTTTATGACTTACAAAGCAATTTCTCATGTATTCTGTTGAATTTTTTTCATTGAGCTGTAGCATACATAAAGGAAAGTACAGAAATCACAAGTGATTTCTTTTATTTCTGTCTGATCCTCACAATACTCTTGTGAAGTAAGTCATTGTCCTTATTTGTTGATTATTTTATTTCAGCTTTGTTATTTTTTCTGCTTGATTAATTCATTTTTGTTGTAGTAACTTAAGACTTCAACAAAAATCAAGTATTACAAGCATGCATAGTTTTGAAGTTTGTATCATAAATGTGTCAGTTCTGAATTTTAATGAGTATATACATTCTTTGTAGTAGATGCATACTGTAAGGTCTTTTAGCAGTGTGTATAACTTGTTTTCAAGATTAGGACTTTGTGTAATGGACTTTTGATCTTTGAAGAAGATGGTGAATTTTGAGGCTAATGTGGGTAAAGGAAAAAAAAAGATGTGTGGTCAGTTAAATAGTAATATCTTTGAAGATTGTTCACTGTGTTGTACTAATATTTTGAATAAATGTTTATATTCACAACTGATGAATTTAGTGTGCATTTAACCAACTCATATATGAAGTTGCATTATAGATTTGATACTTGTACTATTGGTGCTTGGAAATTTATTTTGATTTTTCCAAGAGTTTCTGTTTAATGTTTTATCTAAGTAACTATATGCTATATGGCATCATTCTCTTAATCAGCAATCTGTTCATTTGCCCTTATTTTAGGGAAAAAAATGCCATATAATACCATGTTTGAATGGACTCATTCTGTCCACTCATTATTCATTCAAAAGATATTTTTTGAGCACCTACTATGTGCTAGGCACTGTAACAGGCATACATCTATGAATAAACCAGACAAAGGTATCCTGCCCTTGTAGAGCTTAAATTTTAAGAGGTATGAAAAGGACCATCAGGGCTCAACAATGTCACGGTTTTTCTGTTGCTGGGGACACATCTACACTACGTTCTCAGCCCTCCTGTATCTTTTAGAGGGACCATTTGAATAACTTTGACCAGTGAAATGTGATCTGGGTGACATGTGTCTTACCAGAACAAAACAGTTAACAACTGGATGCCTTTTCCATCTTCTCTGCCAGCTTAGTGGAGAGAATTTCATTAGAACCCAGAGGAGGAGAAACCGTAAAATGTCCTTGAATGATGGGTGGAGAAGAATATCTCACCAATCTACTTGACTTCAATGGAAGCAAAAAAAAAAGCTACTGTACTTTTTGCTACAGTAGTTGGTACTGGAAGTGAAATTCTGTTAAAATGAAACCTTAAAATTGTGTCATTGGCTTAGTGGTCAGATAGCACACTTGATGAAGGCACTGATATTGGGGGCAGGAAAGACAGAAACCCATTTTACACAATGGTGATCAGTTTGGTGAATTAGTCATTCATGATAGCTTGGAAGGCACACTTCACACCAGCTGAGCTCTAGGTCAAATATTAGAAAGGATCAGAGTGTGAGTGTGTGTGGACTGTTATTCATTAGGTTTTTACAAGAAAGATAAGCTTAGGAAAGAATTGGCTAGTTTTCAAACAAAAAATGAAGGAATAGAGAAAGTTCTGACACTTGGGGCAGTGAAAGGAAAAACAGACTGCTTTTTGACTCCACAGAGCAAGACAGGAGCATTAAGAAAGGCTTTGAGCAACAAAGGCTAGTAAACTTTCTCAGTTGGAAAAAAATGACTCAGTCTTGTGGCAAAGATCAGATTAGGGATATGAGTTCTTGTCCTTGTCTGCTCTTCAGAACCACCCTGCTCCCACCTATATAGTTTCTGATTTAATGGGGACAAGGTACATGAAATCTGGATATAGGCAATTTAAAAAAATTCTCCCCAATGATTCTGTTGTGCAAAGTTGGAAACCACTGACCTATCGTTTCATATAGCCTCCAGGTGTCTTCTGTTGAAAGCAAGAAGCATGGAGGCAGAGACATAAATCAGGGTTGAGAATTATGTCTAGGAAAGAACTTTGTGTCTGGCTACTGGCAAATTGGACTGACTGGAAGCACACAGATCAAAGGCCTACTGAGTTTTTGAGGGACTTGAACCTGGACTGAGCAAGCCCTTGACTATTTGAGGTGAAATGCCACTTATTAATGACCGAGAACTTGCTCTGGAAAGAGGTGGTTTGTGAAGAGTGCACAATCCCTAAGGAGGGCACGCCACCTGAATAGGAGATATTAGAAAAGGAAGAGCCTCCTGCTCCTGTCCCACCATGTCTGCTGGGACTACAGAGAGCAGGTGCAGGTGATTTACCTGTTCAGTTCATAGGTTGCATCATAAAGAGCTACACATGGTCTTGATAAAGAAGACTGTGCCATTCCCAGAGATCTTGGACTTGTAGTTAGATGCACTGACTGAATGGGACTTCAGGTTTTCTTTTGAGGGATGGGAGTGGTTTGAGTGTGTTCTATGCATAGGAAAAGGAAGCAGAGAGATATTTAGTGCTTAGAAACACCAATATCCATATTTTCCCTTTCTTCCTGGATGTGTAACTGGATTATATAGTTCATGCTCCTTGCAGCCAGATGGGGCCATTGACTAGTTCTCATCAATGGAATTTGTTTGCAAGTCATCTGTGTTACTTTTGGGTCAAGACAGTTTAAAGCAGGTGTTTCTCTTCCATCCTGCCCTTCTCATGCCCAGTATACATTGGGTACATGGAAGGATCTCCAAAGAAATTAGCAGAGGCAGAAACCTTTTATGAAAGGGCAGGGTGCCTGAATGGGCAGATCAGAGCCCCTCTGCCAATTTACACTGGACTCTCATATGAGCACGACATCACAAAGAGGATTCAGGAGTATAGGGGTTATAAGACTTGGGATCATGTTGACCAAAGCAGTTTCTGTGGAGTGGTGGGTTCCTAAAACTGATCAAAGTGGGTACTAGAGGGAAAGGGAGAGAAATGGAGACAGTGATCACAGATAACTTTTGTCAGTGATATCTTTTTTTGAACACTTTTCCACTAGTAGTTCTTTTTTTTTACTTTTTTTTTTGGTATCATTAATCTACAGTTATATGAGAAACATGTTTACTAGACTCCTCCCATCACCAAGTTCCCCCCATATACCCCATTACAGTTACTGTCTATCAGTGTAGTAAGATGCTGTAGAATCACTACTTGTCTTCCCTGTATTGTACAGCCTTCCCTGTGCCCCCACACACATTATACATGCTAATCATGGCACCCCCTTTCTCCCCCTCCCCTTATCCCTCCCTTCCCACCCATCCTCCCCAGTCCCTTTTCCTTTGGTAACTGTTAGTCCATCCTTGGGTTCTGTGAGTCTGCTACTGTTTTGCTCCTTCAGTTTTTTTTTGTTGTTGTTATACTCCACAGATGAGTGAAATCATTTGATACTTGTCTTTCTCCATCTGGCTTATTTCACTGAGCATAATACCCCCTAGCTCCATCCATGTTGTTGCAAATGGTAGGATTTGTTTTCTTCTTATGGCTGAATAATATTCCATTGTGTATATGTACCACATCTTCTTT